CTGCCGCCTGCCCACCCACACGCCTGCCTTTCTAGGACTAACCCTTCTTTTCTCCTTCCTCTTCCAGAGGGCTCACCCTGGCATGCTGAAAGTCATAAGAAGTCTGAAGAAGGCGAAGAAGCACGGCCTTTCCACAGACCCCATTATTTTTTCCGGTAAAGCTCAGGGTGGTCTTTGCCTTTGGGGTCAAGAGGAGGGGGAGAGAAGGGAAGTCTTATCTGTAGCTCTGCCTCAGGTTGCAAAATGCCGTGGGTCAGCCTAAAGTGTAGAAAACAGGATGAGGAAGCTGGAACAAAGCATTTTGCTGGATTATATCGGCCTTATAAAGGCAATCGCAGCACAATGGCTGAAACCCTCTTGTGCGGGTCCTCAAAGGGTGTTAACTTTTAGCGTTCATTTGCTCTCCTTTGAGAAATCGCCCTCAAATAGGCCTGAGTTTTATGGGCCTGTTAATTCATGTCGCTGCACCGGAGAACTTGAAAAGTTCTGAAAATGTAGATGAACAAATGGTAAAAAAACAATAAGCAGCTCAGCCTGTTTTCTGGGGTTCTTTGCACGGGGAAAGAAAACAAAAGAAAGCCCCCCCCCCAGTATCTAAATAGGCTTCATGAGAAATCTTGTTGCACAGAAGAAGGCACAATTTTTACTGTTGAATTGCCGTTAAGGACCTGCTGCCCAGCTTCATACGGGGCAGGGGCATCCTACACAGATTCCTTAACTTACGGCAATTCGCTGCCAAGAGTTACGCCTTTAGCGTAAGTATGCAGCCAGATTTCAGCCGATAAGTGTTAAATTCACCCTCTCTGAAATGGTTTTCTTTGGGGGGGGAGAGGTTTTTTTCAGTGAAAAAGCCCCCCCCATTCCCCTGCTAGTGTCTAAAATTGTATAAAGGTAAAGGTAAAGGCTCCCCTTGACAATTTTTGTCCAGTCGTGTTCGACTCTAGGGGGCGGTGCTCATCCCCGTTTCCAAGCCATAGATCCAGCGTTTTGTCCGAAGACAATCTTCCGTGGTCACATGGCCAGCGTGATTTAGACACGGAACGCTGTTACCTTCCCACCGAGGTGGTCCCTATTTATCTACTTGCATTTGCATGCTTTCAAACCGCTAGGTTGGCGGGAGCTGGGACAGGCAACGGGAGCTCACTCCGTCGTGTGGATTCAATCTTATGACTGCTTGGTCTTATGACCCTGCAGCACAGGCTTCTGCGGTTTAGCCCGCAGCGCCACCACGTCCCTTAAAATTGTATATTTTGAGAGAAAAAATATGAAATGCCTGGGAAGGATAGTTTTTAATTTTTGCTCTGGGTTTGTCTCTCTCTCTCTCTCTCTCTCGTGTTCCCAGTCTCAAGATCAGTCCGGCCCGGCGGCCCTGGCCGACATCGTGGCCACTGCCAGGGCCAGCCAGTTGCCGACCAGGATCCCCGCCGTGGTGCACAGGACCGAGTCTCCGACCCTGGCCGAGCCGCCGTCGCACGAGGACTCGATGCAGGAGGACGACACGGACCAGGAGTCGACCCCCGCCACCTCGCAGCCGTGGGCCGGAGGGGTTGAGAAGGAGGCCACCCTCGGCTCAGGTTAAGAATCCGTCACGTCTTGTCGCTTGTGTGTGCACGTGCGTGTGTGCATGTGTGCCATTGGCTGCTCTGCCAATCTGTGTGATTATACGTGTGTGTTGATCTGTATATGATTTTTTAATCTTTCATTACAGACTTTCTCTCCCCGCTTCTTCTGAGCTCTTGAGACCTTTCTCTAAGTCCCACCCCCCTCTCAGGCATGTCCGGAGAGAAGACGCACGGCGGGGCCTTTTCGGTGGCTGCTCCCCAATTGTGACAACTTTTTCCCTTTGAAGGCCGCTTGGCCCTCTCCCGTGGGGATGGGGGGGAGGCCATCCTTTCAACACAGGCTTTGTCTGGGTCACTCGGGGTGGTTTGCAACCATAAAAATAACCATAATTGTAATGACGTGGGAAGACAACAAACCCAAAATTAAAGCGAAAACAAAATTGACAGTGCAGTTCAACACAGTAAAAAGCATTAAGAGATGGGGGCGGTAGGTAAAACAAAATGTGTGTATCTATCTGTCTGTCTGTCTGTCTGTCTGTCTATCTGTCTATCTGTCTATCTGTCTATCTATCTATCTGTCTACCTATCTATCTATCTATCTATCTATCTATCTATCTATCTATCTATCTATCTATCTATCTATCTATCCACACACAAACAGAATTTAATGCGATCGCTACACAGAGAAAAACGATTAAACATCAGTTAATATAACAACATATTTTAAACAGAACAATTAAAAACATTTTTAAAACCATTGAATAAAGTCAGCATTCCTCCAAAAAAAAAAAAAAAACACAACCCACTTCCTGCTTAAAAGTCTGATGTTGACATGATTGAAGGTTCCTTTTTTGAGTTTAATATTAGCGAGAAGGCAGTGGTTGTTTAAAAAGCTGTCTCCTATTTCAGGAGATGTTGGGAAGCGCGGCCTTAGAATCCCCGTCTCGGGAGTATAAATAGAATGGAAATCTAAAAGAACGTTTCTCTCGCGATAGATGTTGCTGCTCCAGCTCCTGCCGCGGCAGCTGAGGGAAGCGCTAGCCATTCGGAAACGAAAGTGCCGGAGGTGGTATCCGGCGGCGAGCCGCAGGTGGTGGTGGTGGAGACGAGAGCCCAGGAAGACATGGCGCACGAAGAGGACGCCGAGCAGCCATCGGCGGCCAGGAACACACGCCAGCAGGTGCCGCAGCAGCCGCAGCCGTTACCGTGGTCCGAGTTCGAGAAGGCCTTTACGTTCGTGCGCCAGAAGGGAGGAAGCGTCTTGATGCAGTGCAATTACTGCCTGCCGGTGATCAAAAACGTGAGCACCGCCGTGAACTCCTCGACAAACCTGAGGAAGCATTTGGAGGTGAGCGGAGTCTCCTCCCGTCGGTCCTCAAGAAGGGTACGGGCGATGTTACGGCCAAGGGGGTTCTGTGGAGAGAGTGCCGTCTAAGAAAGAACGAGGGTCGGTCGCAGCTGATCATTCTCTGAGCATTGTTCTCTGGAAATGTTCATTCAGATTAAGAACAGGGATGGTGACCTGCTTTGTAGGCAGGCCAACTCCCAGAATTCTGCAAGAATTGTCCAGCTGGGAGTCCCACCTCATAAGCCCGCGATTACAGATGCACCAACATTTCTCTCGCCTGGACCAAGGCCTAGCTTGGTTTCAGGCCTTGCTTCCTGGCCTCATTCTGTGTCTTGGATGCACCTCCCAGAAAAATTCTGCCTTGGGGATTCTTGCAGAATTCTGGGAATTGGTGTCGAACCCCTCCCCCCAAAAAGTCCCATGCCAACCGGTTCATTTTCAAGAAGAAAAAGAAAAAAGAACTTACAAGACAGCAAAATCTTTGTGGGGGGTGGAAGGTTGGGGTTGGAGAGAATTTGCACCCAACAGATTTTTTTTTGTGCGAAATGCAAAACTACAATCACTGTTGCTTTGCTGTTGCATAGAATTTTAGAAAGTGGCCTGAGATGAGTCATTTGTGTGGGTTTACAAGCAATCAGCCTGACAGGAGTTTCAAAAAGATGTGCTTGAAAACATACACAAACCACCAAAAAAAACCCCAAACAAACCAATAACTCCATGATTGTTTTTCCTACGGTGTCGATAGGATTTGTTGCAAAGGTGAGAGAGGGTATCAGATTTTTGAAGTGTCCTCTGATTGAGACAGCTTGGCTTAGGATTGATTTTTGGTGCATTTGAAATTGTACGTGACCTTTTAGACGTTGACTGGTGATTCCATCTCTCTCTCTCTCTCTCCTTCCATAGAAAGTGCACCCAGAGAAGTTGGGAGCATCCGAGAGTTCAGGAAAGGGGAAAAAAAGAGGCTTTTTTGAAGAACTGCTGGACGAGGATGACGATCCCCCTTCGATCAAAATCCTGAAGCAGCAGCAGCAGCAGGCGGTCCTGGAGAGGTGGGGTTCGGGGAAGGAAGCCATCACCCAGAAGATCCTCGACCGGAAGATTATGGACTTCATTGTGGAGGAGACGCTGCCCCTCGAGACGGTTGACCGGCCCTCCTTTGTGGGCCTTGTCCGCCTGGGCCTCCCCAAATGTCTCACCATCATGTGCTCGGAGACTCTGAGAGACAGCATCGAGAAGAGATCCTTCAGCATGCGGGAGAGGCTCGTGAAGCGGATGGGCCCCGTGGCTTACATCGCCACCACCGCCGATTGCTGGACCGACGGCAGGAAGAGTTTCTTAGGGGTGACGGCCCACTGGATCAGTCCCACCACCCTGGAGCGTGAGTTTGGGGCCTTGGCCTGCAAGCGCCTCAGAGGCCCCCACACGTACGAGGTCTTGGCGGGAGCGCTGCGTGACGTGTACGCACAGTACAAGATCCGCCACAAGGTCGTGTGCACTACCACGGACAACGGGTCCAACTTTGTGAAGGCCTTCCGGGTTTTTGAGGCCAAAGAAGAGTCAGAGGCTGCTGACGCCAGTGCGAGTGAGGAGGAGGAGGAAGAGGATGATGATGATGAGGAGAACGGAGACCCCAACAAGGAGGAGGAAGAGGCGGAGGTGAAGTTCGTCCCAATCTCTGAGATTCTGGACGGAGGCGACCGGGATCGGGAAGGTGCTGCAGACGCAAAGGAGTTGAGCTTGCCACCGCACCGGAGGTGCGCCAGCCACACCCTCAACCTGGTGGCCACTCAGGACGTGGAAGCCATGTTGGCGGAGGCGTCCAAGGACAGCCCTCTGGGGCCTTTCAAGAAACACTTCTGCTCCTTGATGGGGAAGTGCGGGGAGCTGTGGGCCACGCTGGATCGCTCCAAGCCGATGGCGGAGAGCATCCACGAGCAGTGCGGGATGTACCTGAAGATCCCCGTGAAGACCCGGTGGACCACCGTCTTCGAGGCCCTGAAGCAGCTGAGCGACCTGCTCTCCGCCGTTCCCCTCAAGGTGGACATCATCACGGACCAGTGCTCCTTGGAGAGGGTCACCCCGGCCGAGAGCCTCGTCCTGGAAGAGTACACGGAGATCATGGGGCCCCTCGCTCAGTCTCTGGAGATCCTGCAGGGGGAGAACGGGATGTACATGGGGTACCTGCTGCCAACGCTGTACAACCTGGACCGCAAGCTGCAAGGGCTGGAGAATAAGCCGGGCCGGTTCACCCATGGCCTCCCGCTCCTCCAGGGCCTGCGGCAAGCCCTGCGGAGGCGGTTCGACCACATCTGGGAGGACAGGGGGCTCCTGCTCGCGGCCTGCCTGCATCCTCGCTTCAAGGTGGATTGGCTGGAGTCTGCTCCAAACGCCCAGACGAGCAAGTAAGCCAACCCGGAGAAGCCTCTTGGTCCTGGGTGGTGGAGGGCATGGGGAATTCCCACCTTTCCAGCTGATCTAGAGGCCCGCCTGGGATTTTTGTGTGGTGGGAGAGGGTATTCCCCCCTTCCAGACCCAGAAGGAAGTCCTTCCACCGCACAAAATGAATCTCTCCTGGGGAGTAACCCCCCGATAGAGGCTGGCGCATCCTGATCCAGCTGCCTTTTAGGGGATTCCAGCGGAGACATGTGGGATTTTTAGAGTGCGTGGACTACAGCCCCCATAAACCGGCAGGAGCTGCTGGATAACTCGGCAGATTAGTTCTCTCACTGTGAAGCCAAAGGTTTGGGGTTCAGTTCTCCATTGGGTGTCTTTCACATGGACTCGACTTGATGGATCCATAGGGTTCCTCCTTCCAGCTCTGCCATTCTAAGAAAATTATTATTATACAGTGGTGCCTCGCTAAGCGATGTTAATCTGTTCCGGAAAAAACGTTGCTAAGCGATTTCATCGCTAAGAGAAATTAAAAAGCCCATAGAAATGCATTAAAATACGATTAATGCGTTCCTATGGGCTAAAAACTCACCTTTAAGTGAAGATCCTCCATAGGGGCGGCCATTTTCGGTGCCTCTTAAGCGAGGAAACACAGCGAGGAAACACAGCGATCACAAAACCCCCACCGTTAAGCAATTTCATCGCTCAACGAAGTGATCGCTAAGCGAGGCACCACTGTATTATAATTCCTCTAGTTTTTGCTAGATCTGTAATCCCTGGTTGCTCCCGCACAGTTTAGCAGCCCTAGTTTCCATTTCTCTTCTCCTCAAGAAAAAAATATATATATAGCTGCTGCAATTGGAATTCATGAGCTTAAGAACTTGGAAAAAACCCGTCAGGACTTTGGTTTCTCAACTAAAACCACCAGATGTGGGTCGACGGTGGATTTCTGCAGATGTCCAGGGTCTGTAGTCCATGAACTCTGAAACCCACACGTACCAGCTGACATGGACATCCCCCTTAACACATCTGAGTGGTTGTCCTGTGGATGAGGGCATGACTTCCTTTAGTGCTATTCTGGCGAGGGGGAGAGGTAGGTGTTAAAGTCTAGACAGACCCTGACATGAGGGATCCAGAATATGAAGGAAATATTATAAGGATGTCTATCTCAGGGGATTCTCCTTTGCTGGAGAGAGGTTGGGTGGCCACCTGAGAGCAGATTTCCTTCTGTCATTTATTGCACTGGTTCTTAACCTTGGGTTACTCAGGAGTTTTGGACTGCAACTCCCAGAAAACTTCACCACCAACTGTGCTGGCTGAGGTTTCTGGGAGTTGCAGTTCAAAAACATCCGAGTAACAAAGGTTAAGAACCACTGATTTATTGCATTTCTAGACCTCTCCAGAGGACTTTCTCCGAATCCCTCCTAGGCTCTCAAGTATCCATGCAAGCTGGGGATAACATGCCGTGGGCCCAGTCGAGCCCAACGTCATTGTGCCTTTGGTTACTCTTCTGTAAAGCCACCTGTTTCCCTTCGCAGGTCCATGATGGAAGCCCTGTTGAAGGCCGAAATCCAGAGCGTGGTCAGCGAGGATGGCGGAGAACCTTCCGAGAGAGACCGGGAAGGGAGTCGTGCGGAGGAGGACTTTTTTAGCATCCAGACCCGGAGCGCCAAGTTGGCCGGGGAAGGGGCGGAGGAGGACGAGGAGGTGGCCCGATACCTGAAGTCCCCTGTCCGGGAGGTCTCGTCGTTACACGCTTTCCCGCGGGTGATGCGGAGCTTCCTCCGGCACAACACGCCCATGCCTTCCAGCGCCGCCGTGGAGTACCTCTTCAGCACGGTGGGCCACGTCATGACGGTGAAGAGACCCTCGTTGTCCGACGAGCTCTTCGAGCAGCTAGTGCTCCTGAGGCAGAACCGACCAGTGTTTTAAAGGGTGCTGGGGGAAAAAATATGCGCTGGATTATGGAGAAGGCCAGAGAGTTCCAGAAAAACATCTACTTCTGCTTCATTGACTATGCAAAAGCCTTTGACTGTGTGGACCACAGCAAACTATGGCAAGTCCTTAAAGAAATGGGAGTGCCTGACCACCTTATCTATCTCCTGAGAAACCTATATGTGGGACAGGAAGCAACAGTTAGAACTGGATATGGAACAACTGATTGGTTCAAAATTGGGAAAGGAGTACGAAAAGGTTGTATATTGTCCCCCTGCTTATTTAACTTATACGCAGAATAGAACATGCGAAAGGCTGGACTGGAGGAATCCCAAGCCGGAATCAAGATTGCCGGAAGAAATATCAACAGCCTCCCATATGCAGATGATACCACTCTGATGGCAGAAAGTGAGGAGGAATTAAAGAACCTTGTAATGAGGGTGAAAGAGGAGAGTGCAAAAAACGGTCTGAAGCTCAACATCAGAAAAACTAAGATCATGGCCACTGGTCCCATCACCTCCTGGGAAATAGAAGGGGAAGATATGGAGGCAGTGACAATTTTTACCTTCTTGGGCTCCATGATCACTGCAGATGGAGAAAGCAGCCCCGAAATCAAAAGACGCCTGCTTCTTGGGAGGAAAGCAATGACAAACCTTGACAGCATCTTAAAAAGCAGAGACATCACCTTGCCAACAAAATTGTGGTGCTGGAGGAGGCTCTTGAGAGTCCCCTGGACTGCAAGGAGAACAAACCTATCAGTTCTAAAGGAAATCAACCCTGAATCCTCACTTGAAGGACAGATTCTGAAGCTGAGGCTCCAGTACTTTGGCCATCTCATGAGAAGAGAAGACTCCCTGGAAAAGACCCTGATGTTAGGAAAATGTGAGGGCAAGAGGAGAAGGGGGCGACAGAGGATGAGATGGTTGGACAGTGTCATCGAAGCAACCAACATGAATTTGACACAACTCTGGGAGGCAGTGGAAGATAGGAGGGCCTGGCGTGCTCTGGTCCATGGGGTCACGAAGAGTCGGACACGACTAAACAAAACGAAACCGGGGGGAAAACAGCATTTTAAGAGGGTTTTCCCTTCACAGGTTTTAAAGACATTCTCGGGGCGGAAGGCAGGGGCCAGGCATATACAGTTCTATTATTAATCCTATGGATAAATATGTTATTCTACTCCCTGCGTCTGCCTTTTTAAAATTTCTAACACGGACTCGGAGGCGTTGTGTATCCCAGGGCAGTTCTAATTTAGAGGCCAGGCATTTTCTGTCTCTCTGGTTTTTTAAAGGAGAAAAATGAACAACTTTAAGAAATAATTTTCAGAAAGGTCGCTGGCTCTGTTTTCAGCAACGACAAAACCAAAGCCACGGTGGCCTCTTTAAGACCAACACGTTGATCTCGTCATTTATTTTACTTTTGAAGGATTATTGTCCCTTCCTTGGGATGCACGGGACACGGTATCTGGATTTGGTTCACATACAGGGTGTCTCTGGTGTCAGGATGAGAGACCAAGTTGGAAGGACAATGGTATGTTCTCTTGTTCCTAGTTGTTAACATACAGTTGCTCTTCCACTGATGACTTTGAGGGAGTTGGTCCATCTCGTATTGGGGTCTTCCTCTTTTCCTTCTCCTTTTCCTTCTCTTTTTCCCAGCATGAAGGTCTTTGCCAGAGAATCCTGCCTTGTCAAGATGTACCCCAAAGCAGGACGGTCCCAGTTTTGTTATTTTTTCCCTCCAGAGTCCTTGATTTTATTGAGGACCGTCTGGTTTGTCTTTCTTGCAAACCCCGGTATTCTATATACAGTGGTGTCTCGCATAGCGACCGCTCCGTTTAGCGAAGAAATCGCTTTGCGACAATGTTTTTGCGATTGCAAAAGTGATCGCTTTGCGATGGTCCCTATAGAGAAATTTCGCTTTGCAATGATTGCAGGGAAGCGATTGTTGCAATGTCCCTGTTTTTGGCCAGCTGATCGGCGGTTTCAAAATGGCCACTGGGTAAACAAAATGGCCACCCGCTGTTTTCTATGAAGGATTCCTCGCTTTAGAGGCTTTGAAAATGACAGTGCTATGGAGGGTCTTCGCTTAAAGGTGAGTTTTAAGCCCATAGGAACTCATTAATTGCATTTTATTGCGTTTCTATGGGCTTTTTAATATCGCTTAGTGATGTTATTGCTTAGCAATGATTTTTTCTGCACGCATTAACATCGCTAAGCGAGGCAGCACTGTATATAAATTAAAGCGTGAGTTCAGTTCTATTTGGACTACGCTTCCTGGAATTCTCAAATAGATTCATCGAAATGGATGGTATAAAAGCTGAAGAAAATTAAAAAGTTGTGCACCACAAATAAAATTTCTTTTTTAATTTGAGAAAAGAAGTTGTACCTTTATGAATAGTAAGGGATATTTTTTTTAAAAAAAATTGATTGTAATTCTCAATTAGAGTTAGCATCTCTTTTTTTTTCTTCCACCCCCCTGCCTCTATTTATGACACAACACAGTCCAATAAGCTGGTCATTCCTACACTGGGAATGGCCCTATGTACTGGTTTGACTGGTGAAAATGGAAGAGGACTGGACTTCGTTTCACTTTTTGGAAGAATCTGGCAAAAGGATTTCATATTTGGGATAGAAACAAGTGAAAGCTTTAAAAAAAACACAACCACAACACCTGACTGTAGGAGAAAACAAAATGAATATTTATTCTCACTCCTGTAATCGGCACATAAAAATTGTGGTTGTTATTAAGACTGAACTAAATATTGTTGGAGGGCTTATCTACCCCCTCACATCCCTCCACCCACCCCCCAAAAATGGACTTGAGAAATACTGGCTGGTTTTCGGGACCCTTCGGAGAGCTTCCAAAGGGAAGGTGGGGCTTCGTAACTTATTTATCTCTCCATTTCATTTCTCTGCTACTTTTCTTCTCAGAATCGGGACCCGAGGTGGCTTACAGGACAAATTAAAAGCTGTGAATCGATTTAAAGACACAGTGAAATGGCAAAACATGAGAACAGAGTGAAGCAGGGTGACGGGATTAAAATCCGGTTACAATTAAAAACTCCTTAAAATTCAGCAAAAATGGTCATGCTCCAAAACTCGAAACAACGCAAAACAGCCGATCCACGAAGGCTTATCAATGAGGCGACGGGGTCTTCTGTCTTTCGGGGGGGGGGGGTTGGCTTCTTCGCCATCCTAATTTTGAACAGAAGACCTCACAGGAAGGGAGCGAGGTGCTGAGGGCATCATCATTCCCAGAGCCGTGCGTGGGGAGGATGCTCATTTTCTGCCCTGGGTGGGGTGGGGGCTCCCTTGTTGGGATGGTCTGCTCCTCTTCCTCACTCCCTAAGTGAGCCAATCGGAGATAAGTCCTTTTTAGATCATTACGCAGGGCGCACACGTACATCAAAAAGCAACATTTTGACTTCTAGGAACACAAGCAGGAATTGAGAAAACAGGAAGGGGGGGGGTTCTCTGTCCAATGCAGAAAATAAACCTCTCGGTGGCAAAAAAACAAAACCAAATTCCCTTATTCTGGAACTTCCCTCATCCCTTATGGATATTCCTTTATCCATGCATTTGGATAAGACCTTTGTTTCTCTGCGGATCTACGGGCAGAATGGCAACAGGAAAAGCAAGGTGAAAACCACTCCGTGCTTCGAAGCCATGCCGAACATTTAGAATTGCAGTGTGTACACTCTGTGTGTGGTTGTGTGTGTGTGTGTGTGTGTGTGTGTGTGTGTGTGTGTAAAAAAAATAGCCACGGCCCTAGAAGGAGCTCAGCTGCTGGGCTCAAAGGCAGTGGCGAAAAGACCGAGTTTTCACTTGGTGCAGGAAGGAGGGGAGGGTGGGTGCCAATCAAACCTGCAGGAGGAGGGCCTTTCCGAGTGGAGGGGCCACCACGGAGAAAGCCCTGCCCCATTCCCTGCATGGGATGTTGTTGTTTCGACTTAACTATACCACTCCGTGTCACTTAAAAGCTCTCTCCGGGCAGATTGCAATTTTCATGATACAAGGCCATGCGTTGCCACCTGCAGTGCATGATGGGCACTCAATTGACCGTCCTCAGGAGGATGGGAGGTGGAGTCCGCCTCAAGCTGGCACCCTGAGCCCGTTGGGATCGAACTCCCGTCCTGAGCAGAGTCTTCACTTCAGGACTGCACTTCAACCTCGGTGCCACGGGGTGGGGTGGGTGACACACACCAAAGAAGAGTCCCAACCCAGCAGATCTTAGTCACAAATATATGGATTTCCACCCCCCCAGGTCTCTTCTGCTGCCCCCCCTTTAAATGGCAACTGGGGCTCTTTTTGCTGGCCTTTCAAGGAGCAGGATTTAGCCTCTTAGTAAGAGACTGGGATGATTTGGAATAACTTATATTTATTTATTTAAAGTGTTTTTACCCGGCCTTTCTCCTGGAAAAGGACTCAAGGCGGCTTATGAACCACACGAAAGATACTATTTGGAGCGGAAAACCCTGAGTCTAAAAAAGCGTGATTTTAACATCATTCAAAGGCCATAAGTAGATGCTGTCTAGTAGGGCGGGGGTAAAAATCAAATAAATAAAATAAATAAAATCATTCAAGCACAGAACAAGGAGGAGAAAGAGGCAGCTGTTGTCCGGTTTAAAGGCCAATATTCATAGTACAAGTATTGGTTTATTTAAAATATGTGTATCCTGCTTTTCTCCTTTAAAAAAGGACCCAACCTGTTGGGTTTCTCCTTTGCAACCCAGAGCGAGATCTTTCTCAGGATTCCTTTTGGAATAGTTTTTAATTGTTTGCTTTTTCCAGGTCTGAAAAAGGATGAGATTTTGGAGGTCTGGCTAGTGTGTGTATGTGTGTATTTTCCTCTTTCTCTTTCTTTCTTGCTTGCTTCCATTGTTCCTTTCTTTTTCTTCCTTCCTTCCTTCCTTCCTTCTTTCCTTTATTTCTTTCTTATTTTCTTTCCTTCTTTTCCATTTTTTGCTTCCTTCAGTCCATATCTTTCTTCCTTTCCTTCCTCCCACCCTTTCTCTCTTTCGGGACCAAACCCTCACTGGTCTTTTAAATAAAACAAGTTTATTGATTACAGATGTTTTGATTATCATTCATAAGTACAGTGGTGCCTCGCTTAACGAGTGCACCGTACAACGACGAAGCCGCATAACAATCCCCTTTTCGGGATTGCTAATGCGGAGGCATACCGATCGTTCCAATGGGCAAAACTCGCATAGCGACGATCGGTAAGCGTTTCACTTACCGATCTTCGCTTTGCAATGTCCGCGGATCAGCTGTTCGGCGGTTCTAAAATGGCTGCCGGACGCCTGAAATGGCTGCGCGCAGCGTTTTCACGCCCTCCCCTCGCTTACCGAGGGTGCGAAAATGGCTGCCGCTATGGAGGAAACTTTGCTGAACGGTAAGTTTAGGGCCCATTGGAATGCATTAAACTATGTTTAATGCGTTCCAAAAGGTTTTTATGTTCCGTTCAGCGATCTTTTCACATAGCGAGGGTTAATCCGGAATGGATTAACCTCGCTATGCGAGGCACCACTGTATCTTCTTCAGGTGTCTCAATCATCAATAACAATCTTCTATTTGATCTTACAGTTACTATTCACTCTTCTGACTAATCACACCTCAGATTTCCCAAAATACCACACTCTCATCTCTCTCTTGACTCTGACTTTGCCTCTTTATTAAATCTCTCTTGGCGCCGCCTCTCAGCAACATTAGCCTGCAACATGAATATGCATGGCTACTGTACTGCAGCCAAAACTGTGCTCATGACCTGGGGTTCAAATCCCAGGTAGCGGCTCAAGGTTGACTCAGCCTTCTATCCTTCCGAGGTCGGTAAAATGAGAATCCAGCTCGCTGGGGGGGGCAATGTGTAGCCTGTATAATTAAATTGTAAACCGCCCAGAGAGTGCTTGAAGCACTATGGGGTGGTCTATAAGCAGCACACACTTTTTAACATAGTAAGGGTGAGTGCTACCCTTGCCTTCCTTCCTTCCTCCCATCCTTTCTTTTGTTCATTCCTTCTCTTTCTTTCTTTTCTTCCTTCCTTCCTTCCTTCCTTCCTTCCTTCTTTCCTTTATTTCTTTCTTTTTTTCTTTCCTTCTTTTCTATTTTTTGCTTCCTTCAGTCCATATCTTTCTTCCTTTCCTTCCTCCCACCCTTTCTCTCTTTCGGGACCAAACCCTCACTGGTCTTTTTTTCCTGCCACCCCTCTGGCTGCAAGGCTACTCTGGGCGGTTTGCAACACAATAAAACAACCACAACATTTCCTATGGGTTTGACTTCCTATGGGAGGCAGGAGGGTGGGGTGGGAGAGGGAGAGAGAGAGAAAAATATTCCTCTCTAGGGTTAAAAGGATAGAGTCCGGATGCCTGGAAAGGACCTGGGGTGGGGGAAAGGGAGGGGGGG